TCTCTCTCTCTCTCTCTCTCTCTCTCTCTCTCTCTCTTCTCTTCAATTTGCTTTGTTTTAGAAAAATGTTAATAAATTATTTTTTGTTATATATTTCTTTACTCCAATAATCTCGTTTAAAAGTTTTTTAACCGCTTCCTTTTTTATCTACCAATTTTAATCTTTATTTATCAATCAGTTTTTGGAAAGCCAATTTCTTTTATATTTCAATTCTTTCATTTATAAAAATCTTATATTTTAAATATTTATATTTTACATACGGGACACGTTTTTAAAAGTCGACTACAGTATATGAAAATGATACGATCGAAGCTCTATCCCGGAAGTAGATATGATACGTATATGTTTCTTTTGTTCGATGCATCGGTGATTTGTTGCGAGCAAATAGTAAAGACTGTGAGCGCATCTCGAGTGATGTGCTCTAGATGAGTATTCGAGAGAACCGCGTTCGAGTGCGGAGAGAGGAGAGTAGGAAGAACGAGAGAAAGAGGAGACTAAGATCGTTGTGCACGCTTACGACCGTCGGGACTGGTCGGGCGATCGATCAAACGGGCGAATCGGTCGTTCGAGAATCGTTCCGCTGCTACAGGGGGCTCTCGGACCTGGGCGATGGTTGTTCACGGAGAGATAGATTATTACTGCCGGTACGCCGTATCGGCGTTCCTTGTTACCAGGTAATGAGTTTATTGTTTAAGAATCACGCCGGAGTTACATGTGCTGCAATCAATTACAATAATGTAATATAATCGTAGCAAGGTCCCGTGGTGCGCGCGTGTATAATGAGGTCTTCTCTCCCTAATGAGAAATATTGGCTCACGAGAGGTGGTCGCTCAGTCTAAACTCACGTACTCGTGCATGTACTCGAGTAACGCGCGTGTAAGTGCAGTAAGATCCACGTACGATATATATATACGCCGATACGTGCACGCGTGTATCTTTTCCCGTGCGCGTATTTGCATGCGTGCGTGCACGCGCTACGTGTGTAACGCGAGACGAAATGAAACTGCGAGAGAGCGGAAATATTCGCGCCAAAAGTTTCGCCCTGCGCGCGGGCTCGGGTTGTAAATCTCGGAAAGTTTAGCCGAGTATCCAGGCGCCTAGATAAAAACTTGCGGAAAGTTCGCGACGAAAAATTCAAATCCTACGTCGACGGTGGCAGCGGAGGCTCCCGGAAATCATTAATCTGACGTGTCACATCGGACATTGCTTGAACGAAGAATCCCGGAAACGGTAGACACGAAATTCCTTTTATCTCGGAGTTAGCTCGACGATCCGGGAATTCAGATAATTTGCATTGCTGATAATTATAGAAGACTCTTAAGACGCTATGACGCCTCGACGTGAATCGCGTCGAACCGATCGGGTACTCGGATACTTCCTAGGTAATTGATATTCTCAGGTATTATTACGTGAATTCTCCGACGTTTCCCATAAAATCCGGTAGATTTGCAGATTCGCTCTTGGACACCTCCCTTGTGCGTTAAAATCGAATTC